CTCTCTCTCTCTCTCTCTCTCTCTCTCTCTCTCTCTCTCTCTCTCTCCAGCTCTCTAACAGCATTGCGATGTGATGACAATATTAGAGAATAGTGAAATTACCAGTTTTATATTCCACATATCATTAACATAAATGCATCCAACCATTGCAATCGATGTGTGTGTGTGTGTGTGTGTGTGTGCATTAGATTTTGGCTAGTAGGCATTTCGACGGTCGAATGTGCGAACGCTTTAGCCGAACTCGCTATTCAAATCAATGTGTATGAAATCGAAATGACGTCGACCGTCGTCTATCAATATCTAAAATAAGTAAAGTATGTAGTAAAATTAGCGCCAACCACAGCCAATCACAGCAATCGACTGGGATTGTGTATGTGCTCACGTGGAAGTGCACACATCGAATTGAACAACAACCATTCAACATGACTTCGTTAAAAACACATTTCATTTCGTTTCGTCAAACGAGGCTATCGTCGTCTGTTTTCAGTTCGGTGTGGTTCACAACGCGACATCGAAACTCAATGCAAAAAAAAGAAAACTCATAGTTGACAGAAAACAGTCGATCAGGAAATGACAAAATTTAAATACAGTTTTCGACATTGTGATTCGCATTCGCTTGAATTTGGCGGCAAGTATTTCGACAACAACAAACAACGCGAAAGAGGCAATGTACTCTACTCGAAATGCATCAATCGAAAAGCGTTACATTTGGCTAGATTAACTTGAAAATCGATTCAATCAACATATCTGAGGGTAACAAATATCGCACTGACCGATTTTGCAAAAGTTGCAACGTATTTTTTTCGGTGCGTGCAGCGAGCGCAACAACAATCATAGTCACAACAACATAGTCGCGAAGCATTGAAGCAAAGGCAGCATGCCACGTACATGTGCACACATAAAGGTTTATGTAATTTATTGGATTTCATGCGATTTTTCCGTTGACGCGCACGCAGCGGGGAAACGATTTTAGCATTTGCAGTGTGTAACAAATATGTTCGCCGCTCGTGTCGGCGCAGGGAAGCACATCGGAAATCGTTGAAACACAACATTACCGCTGTAGCAAATGTGTTTTATATCCAACAGCCAGTCACACATACACATACACATACACATTGTGTGCGATTCGGTATTCGCATTTTTCGTCGAAAAAAAGAGGAAAATGCTTTCTGTCAAGACCAAAGAAGAAGGCACACATGCACCAGACTCAATATCTCCACAAAAGCAAAGCAACGTAAAATGCCAAAGTCATGCACATCCACACATCGTGCGGCTGCTACTGCGAAGGAGAGGGAATGGAAGAAAAAAGATATATCAAACGATTCCATGGACAATAGGAACTTACTCGTAACTCTCGAAAGAATTCCTAATATCAATGAATGCAACCGTACCGTATAATTCGGTAGAATTTCATTTGCCAAGTGGCAAATACGTATTCAATTCATCGCTTTTACACGACGATGTTGCGACGGGGAAAATTTCAACGATGCGCACTAAATCGTCGAACAGGTACGTACTCACATCGCATAATGTGGATGAAAGAGCATGTCGTACACGGAGGTTTTCACTCGAAACTTTCAATTACTTTGTTCGATTTTGAAGGGGTTAACAAACTAAGCGGAGATCCGAACTCTGTCTCTTTGCCTCTGTCTCGCTCTTTCTCTCTCTCTCTCTCACTCCTTCCATGACGATTTTACATGGTAGAACGGGGCTGCCGCATACTCCAAACGCACATATATACAAATATACGTCTAGATAAATGCAAATTTAATTTGAATATGACATTTCATGCATCCATTGCATACTTTTCAGGCAAGAAGTGTGCGATCCAATAAAAGTCTTCAACGAAATGATTTGGAAAACATGATGTGGAATACTAAGGGCTTATTTGCTGCTTTGGCATCAACATGCACACACGGAGGGAAAAAAATGGAAAAAAGACAAAAAAATTGATGACATGTTCGTCAGTTTGCCAACATCATTAAGCTTTAATATTTTTTACAAACAACTCCTAATCACGCAATCCAATTTACGCTCCTGATTATTTATTTTATTTTATTTGTGATTAGCTTTCGCTTTTTTTTTGGTTGTACATTTAATAAAATCGCCCTATTCTTTTATGTGCAAGGCAAGTTTCTTTTTAAATATGTTAATACTATCTATATTCTTTAGTTCATTTGGCAAATCGTTAAATAATTTTACTCCGTTGTACAATATACATTTTCTTGTGTTCTCAGTTCTTATATCAGGAAGCCCAAATTCATTTCTGCTTCTTGTGTTTCTATTGTGGAATTCATTCGCATATCTAATTTTGTTACATAAATATTGAGGGACAAGATCATTTTTCATTTTATAAACAAGTAACATCACATTATAATTTATTCTTTGGGCTACGCTCATCTAATTTAAACTTTTCAACATAAATTCAGAAGGTGTTTGGTAATCACATTTCAAAATATATCGCATTGCACGATTTTGTAGTTTTTGCATTAATTCAATTTGTTCTTTTGTACAATTAATATAGAGCGTTGAGCAGTAATCATAGTGCGGTTGAATAATCGAGTTGTATACAATTTTCCTTAAATCGAATGTAGTTTTGTCGCTGATTCTGTATAATACATTAATTTTGCTGGCTAGTTTTTTTGTTATTGAATTGATTTGTGCATTGAAGTCTAATTTTTCATCAATTTCGAAACCTAAATAATTAATTTCTTTCACTCTTTCTATGGCTTAATTTTCAATTTTTAATTCGAGCTCATTTTATTCATTTCCATTTCCATTTTCTTTGCCAATTAACATCCATTTGCTTTTCAACACATTTGTTTTTAGTTTGTTGGCATTAAACCAATTCTCAATCTTTTTCAATTCACGGTTGGCTATTTCAACAGCAGTTCTGGTATTTTTGTGTTTAACTATTAGTACAGTATCATCAGCAAAAAGAATTATCTCGCTATTATGGGCCTTATTTGTTTTTCGTCCATTTTTACCGGCAACGTTTGATGGAACGAACGATCGTAATCTCTATTATGCCAAATAATTGAACACTCGATCGATTTTATTGTGTGTGTGGATGTGTGTATATGACTGCCTAGTGTCCATTGAAAACAATTGACAAAGGACTCTTTTTTATTTGCATCTCAAGAAGACACCACACAAAATGCAAAGCAAAATTTAAAGTGAATGAATATGAGCGTATCATAATGTGTGTACTACATTTAGTTTTTTCAATTTGCGTGAAATGAAGATGGAAAGTGGGAGAGAGAATGAGAAATAGAAAGCTCAAATAGCCTTATTGCACTTGAATAAGTGACACTTCTTTGAAACACCTATCCGCTTGCCACCATTCAAACATAGTTGCATCAATCAATAGTGAAATTGTTGTGGTTTAGCATATTTACATTGTAATTAAAATAGTTGGGCTATGAAAATTGCAGCCAGATTGATGAGAGTCATTCAATTTCACTTTCGGATAATCACCGGTATTAACACTAATTTGTTGTTCATACCATAATTTTAGTGCCGGGACACACGTTACAATTTTGATTTTGTATATCGTATCCAGACAGACAGACAGCGACCGAGAATGGTGGAGAGAGAGAGAGAGAGAGCGATACACGCACACATGGACACATATAGCCAGCAAAAGTGGTGAGTTCTTCAAGCATATATATGCAAATAGTACGAACTTCATTACAAACATTTGGTGCAAATGCACTCTCAAGTCTTGCGCATTCATACAACTAATACAAATTAGGCGTACATTTTTGCATGCTTATATGCAAAGTGTAAGTGCACTAGAAGTGCACTGCTGATGTTTTCTTCTCAGCATATTTCCAGGGTGAATTGAATATTTTCAGGCAAAAACAACAACAACAACAAAGCACATGGATAAAAAACTCCAGCCGACAAGTTGAAGCAAATCCTCTGCATGTTTATGAGGCGCATTTTTGCAAAGATGCGTGCTACAGTCTGAGTACATGCCAGCATTCCTATTTAAATCATAATGAAAATAAAGCTCAGTTCATTTCAGTCTGCTGAAATCGAATATAATATCCTGTTTTTAAATAAACTCACAAAACAGACACACAAACACAAGCACACACGCACACACAGCAGATATGCTGAACGAATGAACGACACCAAATGATAAAAGCACCTGAAGAGATTCTATGGTCGTTGAATGTTGCCGCTGCTCTGCCGCCGTTTGCAGAAACCGTCGCTTGCTGACGATGCCTTCAGCATAAATATCCTCTAGACCGTTTGTAGCATAAAATGAGCTCAGTGGAATAGAAAAAAATT